CAATGGCAAGCTCCCTCAGCACTTTTTTTTTTTGCTTCTGTTTCTCTCTCTTTTCTCTCTTCTTTTCCATACCCAACCTACCTCCACACATCACAACTTCCCTCTCCCCCTCCCTCCTGCCTATCTGCACAGAGTGCTGAACATAGCACTCACAAGCAGCACAGGCATGACCTACTAGAACTTGCCCTGTACTGACCACCAGCTCACCTTGTTGGCTCCAGTATGTGCCACAAACAACCCATCCTAGTCCCTCCCCTTCAGCTGGACCTGCCCTGCTGTACCATAGCTGAGTGACTGGCCCTGCCCATCGGACAAGAAGGTGAAAAATATCCACAGATGAGCAAACAACAAAGAACACACAGCCCGCCTGCTCAGACATAACCAAATAAAACAAAAGAGCAGGACAAAACAAACAAATCTACAATCAATAAATGAACAAAATAATTACTGAATATCCTGAAGACAGCAGACAATACCAAAACACATTAAAAAACAGGGTAGGATGGTTGCAGTAAGCGTCCAAAATAAAACACCAAACGACTTTCCAGTAGAAGAAAAGGCACTAGAACTACTTGATAGAGAGGTCAAATCTCTAATATTCAGAGCTATCCAAGAGTTAAAGCAAAAAGCAGACAAAAGTTAGGAAAAAATAGACAAATTCATGGAAAATACAGACAAAAAAAAATTAAGAATTCAGGAAAATAATACAGGAACAAAATGCCTAAATAAATCCACAACTAGAAATCATACAAAAACAACAATTAGAAATCCAAAACATAAGCAACAAAATTTCAGAAATGGATAGTGTCATAGAAGGGCTAAGAAATAGGTTTGAAACAATGGAAGACAGGATTTGCAAAATTGAAGACAAACACTTGGAGACAACTTTGAGGAAAAATCAGAAAAAAAGAACAAAGAAAAATGAAGAAACCCTGAGAATCATGTGAGACACAATCAAAAGCAAAAATTTGTAAGTGATCGGAGTTCCAGAATGGGGAGAAAATGGAAAACACAAGAGGATCACTGAAGAATTGCTGACAGAAAACTTCCCTATTATCATGAAAGATGAAAAGCTAACCATCCAAGAAGCTCAGTCAACCCCATATAGAACAGACCCCAAAAGAAAATCACCAAGGCAAATCAAAGTCACTCTCGATAAAAAACAAAGGACAAAAAAAGAACCCTGAGAGCAGTTCGAGGAAAATGAAAAGTCACATACAGAGGGGAAACAATAAGACTAAGTTCTGATTACTTGGCAGAAACCAAGCAGGCAAGAAGGCAATGGGATGACATACATAAAACCTTGAAAGAACAAAATTGCCAACCAAGAATAATATATCCTGCAAACTATCATTCAAATATGATGGTGAAATTAGGACATTTCCAGATAAACAGAAATTAAGGGAATATGTAAAAACCAAACAAATTTACAAGAATTATTAAAGGAAGTCCTTCAGTCTGAGAACAAACATCAGCCTGAATCTAGGACACAAGATCGCACCAGCCAAATACCAACCTAGGAATTGAACTCTCAAGCTAAAAGATTTACAACAGGGAACAAGAGAAGTTAATCTGCAAATGACAAAAACGTCAGAACAACAAGAGAGGGAATAAATGGTGTAGGTATAGAACCTTCTACTGGAGAGGAAGGCAAGGAGATACCAAGTAATAATAGACTTGTTCAAACTTAGGAAGCTAACGGTAAATTTCAGGATAACCACAAAGAAAATTAACAAACCTACTCATCAAAATGAAGAAGAAAAACATAGTCTCAGTAAAAACAAAATCTACAAAAACAAAAGAAATGAAAAAAAATCCACAAACAAAAAGAATTCAGCACAGGAGAGTAAGAGGAACCAAGAAATTGTCAGCACCACCAAGAAAAAAACCCTACAAAATGACAACAATAAAGTTACACCTATCAATAATCACACTGGCTTAAAGCCACCCATAATGAGACAGAGAGTGACAGAACAGATTAAAAAAAAAAAACAGGATTCATCAATATGCTGCCTAAAAAAGACACACCTTAGAAACAAAGAAGTAAATTTATTAAAAATCAAAGGATGGAAAAAATATATCAAGCAAACAGCCACCAAAAAAGAGCAGAAGTGGCAATACCAATCTCAGATAAAATAGACTTTAAAACAAAATCCACCATAAAAGACAAAGAATGCACTCCTATCATGACTAAAGGGATGATCCAGCATGAAGACATAACCATAATAAATATCTGCCCACCCAATGACGGGGCTCCAAAATACATAAAACAAACTTTAACAGCACTGGAAAGAGAAATTGACAGTTCCACTATAATAGTAGGAGACTTCAACACAGCACTCTCAGTAAAGGACAGAACATCTAGAAAGAAACTCAGCAAAGATACAGAATATCTAAAGGCCACAATCAGCCAACTTGAACTCATAGACATATATAGAACACTCCATCCAACAGCTGCAAACTACACATTCTTTTACAATGCACATGGAATGTTCTCCAGAATAAACCACATATTAGGCCAGAATGCAACCCTCAACAAAATCCAAAACACTGAGATAATACAAAGTATCTTCTCTGATCATAACGTCATCAAAGTAGAAATTAACAACAGGAAGAGCAAGGAAAAAAAATCAATTACATGGAAACTAAATAACACCCTGCTTAAAAACCACTGGGTAATAGATGAAATCAAAAAATTCCTAAAATCAAATGAGAGTGAAAACACATCACACCAAAACCTTTGGGACACAGCAAA